AAGGTGTGAAGCAAGGAGTATTAGAGAGAGGGAAAGCTTGTAACTCAGGTTCAGTCACCATGACTTGGCAGAAATACCTGGAAGCTCTACCAGCTTCTTTCTCTTCTATTTGACCTTGGAGCACTTCTTATCCTGCCAGCTCAGAAATGATGGAGACACTTTGACATCTGGTTATGTGACTGTTTTGATCAAATGTTGAAAAGTATTGAAGAAACCATAGAGAGATGAGAATTAAGAAAAAGACACAAAGGAAGGCAGAGGAAGGCGAAGAGAGCAGGAGGTGGCAATCAGGAGCAGTCATGGAAGGAGTTATGGAGAGTCACATGCTTTCATAAATGGACCACATTTAGATGGTGGGAAAGCAATGACCCACCATCAGCCAGCTTGGCATCATGAAGAGCCATTTTATAATAGAAATTGTCCCTTCGTGATTGAATTCTACTCCTGTGAGTTATCTACAGTAGCTTTTACTCAAATGGCAGAGCAAAACTTGATGCTTTCAATTCCTCCATCTGGTTCTTCACCTGTCTTTTCTGTAATCCTTTTTTATCAGTCAGCATTAGAAAGGTTTCCCTGAGTTATGTGAGCAAATAAGACCTGAAGAGTCAGACCTGAGGAGATAGCATCAACTTATATCCTGGTCAGAAGCACAGGTTAAAGCAACCTGTGACTCCGAGTTGGTATATGGAGAGAGGATGTTGAAGGATGGAGCACCTCCCTCATGGTGCCTGACTGTGTCTGCAGGTACATGGTGCCAGAAGTGATTTAGATTGTAAGACATCTAAGCTAATGTCTGCTGAAGAACTTCTGGATTTGTGGGGAAAACTTCTCACACAACTGCTGTCAGAAGTGTGTGAGTGAGAGAAATACCTTGAGGTATTTCATATCTTGAGTATAATATGTCTCTTGTAGACATATTATTTGCCCTGAATCTTGAATGTGAATACTGTATGCCTAAAATTTTCTTGCTATCAGAAGATGCTAATATCTCTTCTAAACCGACAAAAGATGAAGCAAAACCCAGATTAAGATCTGGGATGAAGTCATATGAAGAGGAAGGATCCTCATGAGACTGTTTGTATTGGAGAAAAGACTGGCAAAAATCTGGTAGTACATTCAAGCTCAACCTGAACAGACTCAAGGATGTTCTCCATGAAGACCAAAGGTCTTATCAGCCAATTGAGGAAATTCACTGTGACCATCACTTGCTTGTTTGACTCATCAGGCACATTATACATCTGTGGGAAGGTGGAGGTGGATTTGACCATCACTAGTCATTCTGGAAAAGAAAGCTGGGTATGGACTATGGGAAAAAGATTTCCTCCCCTTTGGGAGAACTGAGATGTGAAGGGGAAGAGAGAAATTACTCTGGTGTAGGTTGAGCAAGCATAAAGTATCATAGCCACATGCATGGCATTCATAAAAAAGGATGGGGCCTACTTACTGGTCTATCTTAGATCTCTGGTCACAACTCTAGCATGATTTGATTCTTGTAGCTGGTGTATCAGAAGCAACTTCATTTTTATCTCTCATTAAATTTTCTCAGTGGAGATGGCCCCTTCCCTACTTTTAGATAAGAACTTAGGAAGCCAATCATGACAGATAATAAAATAAGCAACAATCACATGAAATTCTAAGTTCAGTCTCTGTGGTGTTTGTGTTTTCTCTCTCTTCCTCATAGGGCCTTCTGTAGGCTAATGTGTGCTCCAAGGAGGGAATACATAATCAGCTACTTCTCTCTCTGCTGACATCCTCTTTTTGCCCAGCAGTTGCTCTTACTGAATGAACCCTTCTGCTTTGAAGCTAGGAGGGGAGGGAGAGGAAAAGGGGATAGAAAAGTTCTTATTTGACCAGCACTATAATAAGACTGTTTCAGATTCTCTGCCCAAGTCTTTTTCTCACTAGCCCTCTCATGGAGTCATTGAAGAATCCCTACTGGATTCCTGTGATCTTGCTCCCTTGGTATCACTTCCGTTTACTCTAGAGTTGCTAGGGCCAATGCTCTTTGGTTCTGTGGGAAGGTGAGTGTGTTGTGTCCCAGACACAGCCTCTACTATGTTGCCCTAAGCTGCATTAGTGTTCTCCGGAGAGTCAGACATCTATTGCTCTCTGTTTCTGGTTGTTAGGGGCACAGGTTAAACTGTGTGAGGAGTCCTGCTGAAGTCTTTCTCATAGGCCTAATGTGCTGTTTATTGCACTCCTCTTCATTGGGTCTTTGTCCCAACCCCTTCTTTTGCAAAGCACACCCCCAAACTGTTGTCTCATTAAGCATCCAACAGGTTTTAAATGTCTTTATTATGGCAATATTGTTTAGTTGGGTATAAAAATTCATATTGCTCTCTCCCTTTAGCCCTAGAAGACACTCGCCTACGGTCTTTGAGCATATACTGCTGAAGAGAGTCTGTCATCAGGATATTTTAAAATTGTGTCACTATTCTCTTTGAATTTTGTTAGCTTTTACATTTTTCTTTTTTAAACAATATATCCATTTGTTCTACAACTTTGCTATACTATGTCAAGGTTGATCATATTTTTATATATCCTTCTCTCTTCCTAATATATGCTTTATAGTATAGAAGCTCTTTCTATGATATTATACTCTTCTGGAGCCCTGAATATATTTATTATACCTCTCCAACTAATCTAATCTTCATTTCTCCTAGCTTCTCATTCATTTTATTTTTAAAAGATTTATTTTTAATTATGTTATGCCTGTGTATCTCTCTGTGTGTATGTGAACATGAGTGTGAGTATCCATGGAGGCCAGAAGAGAGCATTGGATCCCCTGGATCTGGTGTTGTAGGTGGTTACGAGCTTCCAGTGTAGGTGCTGAGAACTGAACTTGGGTCCTCTGGAAGAGCAGTATACTGCTTTAATTGCTGGGCCATCTCTTCAGTCCTCATCCATATTTTAATAACCTTATTACTCTGTGCTTTAATGTCAGAAAATGCTTGCACCAACTTACAAAATTTACTAACTCTGTCTTGTCTGGCATGTACAATGCCATTTTAAGTGAATTTGTACACATCAGAGTTGTGTTCATTTGTCCTAGGACCATACAGAGTCAGGTCATGGTTCCACTATGCATAAGTTTCCACTGACAGTACCATGTGAAGAGGATGGCTTATAGATCCAGTTCATCAAACGTTCTTTTCACCTCCCATAGCTGTATTTTTCATTTATAGGCTCTAGTTGTTTATTTTTCTTAACCACTGAGTCTTAATTTAATCTGTCTTTTCTATCTTTCTAGTATTTTTTAAAAGTATGCTACTGCTTATTACTTTCTTGAGGTTCTTAAATGTTCTCATTTTACAATAATTTTCAAGAGCAGTCTCTGACTGTATTTTTTTAAAGTATTTAATTAATTTTCTGTAGTTGAGTTTGTTACTTAGGCCTTGCTATTCTTCATGCTCTAATTTTTTTCTTTTATTAGATTGGCTCATTCTATATAGCCCAGGCTGGCTTTAGACTCACTCCTGAGTGCTGGGTTTTCATGTATGAGCCACCAAACCCATCCTTGTTCTGAAGTTTTCTTTGCATGTTCATCTGGAGAGGAAGTTTCTTCTCTCCTTTTCTCAATGCCGATTCTATCCTAGTGGGCACTTGGAGTTGCCTCCCCTACTGTCAGGCCTTGCAACCTACTCGAAGTGTGCAACCACAAGTTCAGGGGTCCTGTCCTGCAATGATACTAAAGACAACGGATCTAGTCATTCAGCCATCTGGAAGTCTGTCAGCTTTTGTCCACATGCCATTTTCTGCCTCCGCTAGCCCCCATATGTACATGGTTTATAATGCCACCTTTTCCTGTGAACTATCTCTGCCCTATAGCATCTCTTTCCCAGTGTGAGATTGGATATGATTCTTTGCTGTGCATGGGGTACTTTCACTTCTGTTATCCTAAGCATTATCAAGTTTCTCTAACTTTGACAAAGAATTCCTCTGTGGTGTTCAGTCCTCCCAGTAGAATCTGGCCATCACTCTATATTGGTAGATGAATGCTGCTAAACGATGGTGGTTGTTTATTTGTTTTCTGTTTCTGAGTCAGGGTCTGCCTATGTAGCCTGGGCTAGCCTGAAACTTACAGTGGCCCTCTTGTTTCCTTCTCTAGTACTGGGGTTATTGGTGCACTTCATCATACCTGCCTCAGCTAAAGGGTGTTTGATCACTCCATTACCCCACCACAGAGAGCAACAAATACAACAAAAACAATTTAAACTTATTTGACAAAGAGGAACATAAGAACCTGACCCAGTAACCACTATGACAGAGCTCATGTATCTTGAAGGACAGAGCTAAAAAGAGTTCTCTCTCTCTCTCTTTTTTCCCATCAGAAATGTGATCTCTTTGGTTGGTTACTCTAGTTACTTCTGGTGTATTTTCTGGAGGGTTCCCCTTAGCCATTAAAAAATATGACATATCTAAAAAGGGCTTTGGAGAGAAAAGTACTGTGAGAGCTTTATAAGTCCATTCTGTATTGCATGGTTTTAAGGATTTGGATATCCTTAGTGACCAAGTATAGATGCTTCTTAATTTTTGGTGGGATTTTAGTCTATTGAACCCACTGTAAACTGAAAACATCAAAGTCCAAAGTATATTTTACCCACATAGCCTACCAAACATTCTAGCTTAGCAACTCAGAACAGTGTCAAATATTGGTTGTTTATATTGTGGTCTTGTGATTCACAGGGAACTGCTACTAACTGTAGCTGCCTTACATTGTGATAGAATATCACAGCACATGACTAGCCTGGGGAAAGGTCAAAATTCAAAATACAGTACCAAGCAAATGCACACCTTGTGCATCGGCATAAAGTCAACGGTCATAAATTGAAATGTTATAATTTGGGGCTTTTACTATTTACCAAACATGAGTTTCTTTGGAAATAACTTTAAAAAATGTTTCAATCTATTTATCCTTAACTTCAAGGTCAAGTAACCTAATGTCTAGAAAGCTCTCAATTCTTTGATCTAGCCTGAGAATTTTTCTCTTTTAAAAATAGGATGGAGCTTCGCTTGTATCCAAGCTCTCAGTTGGCTGTATTATGTTCTGCTATGTGTCCAATGAGTTCAAGGACTTCCCAAGTCACAGCAACATCTTCTTCAGTCTCCTCATTCCCATGGGCCAATTTCTCCTTCCTAGTGAAATTATACAGAAGATTTGGAGATTCCAGTATCTTGCACAGTTCCTATCATGAGCACTCCTGTTGAGTTTCAGGTAAGTGTAATGTATTCTATCTTACTTTATATCAATTAATTCCACATTTTGGAATTCCATATTTGTTATGTAAAGAGCCCAGCTTTGGGGCATTTCTGTATTGGCTAAGATTTATGCAGTTCAAGTGATGAAAAAAATTTCACTCAAACTGATTTATGCAAAGAAAAGGTATTGGCTAATAAAAATGATATATGAAAGAGGGGACACCCAGGTAGACCAGATGGAACTAGGCATAGGAATGAACACAGATCATCAGCATGTCTTGAGTCCTTCTCATGGCTTGGTTTCATCTTGTATCCCTCCAAGTGTTAATTTTATTCCTAGGTGCCACGTGACATAAGATGTGTGGATTTGTTTCTTATGACTTTCATGTCTTTCTGTTCTATTATTTCTCACAACGTTTAAGTTCTGGAAAGCCCTTTCCATATTTGCCTTCTTATTCTTCTCTTAAAGGAACCTTTCTCTTGTGACCTCCTGACTGCTGGTTTCTTTATTCAGCTCTTGTGGATTTGCTTTTCTCTGGTTGGACGGCACTGCCAATATTTGGCAGTTGGCTGACTTTCTCCCCATTGTTCTTGCTTTCAGGAATGGTTTCCTGCTGTAGAGTATTATTTTAAGGTGTGTTATATTTTTATTTATGTTGCATTTGTTTAACTCTGTGAAGCTGTGTTACTGTGCCTGTCTAAAACACCTGATGGTCTAATGAAGAACTGAGCGGCCAATAGCAAGGCAGGAGGTAGAAGTAGGTGGGGCTGGCAGGCAGAGAAAATAATTAGAAGGAGAAATCTGAGAGAAGGAGGAGGATGCAAGGGGCCAGCCAGCCAGCCAGCCAGCCAGCCACAGAATAAGAGTGAATGTAAGTTATACAAAAATAAGAAAAGGAAAACGCCCAGAGGCAAAAGGTAGATGGGATAATTTAAGAAAAGCTGGTAAGAAACAAGTCAAGCTAAGGCTGGGCATTTATAATTGAGAATAAGCCTCTTTTGAGAGCTGGGTGGTGGGACCCTCAAAAGAATAAAAAGAGCAAAAACAACCAACACACATTTTGGCATATCAATGTGAGGCCGAATATCCATAGGGCCTGAGAAAACTGAAAAGAAAAAAAAAAAAAAGAGGATACAGTTCCTTTAAGAAACCCTGCAGAGCACTTAAACAGCTTCCCCCGCCCACATTAAATAAAAACAAACAAACAAAAAAAAAAACCTAAGTAATAAATGCCTGCCACAGTGCAGGGCACTGGCATTCCATAGCTGGGAGGCTGAATGAAGTTCCTGGGTCAAATGTACCTCCAATCAGGCCACAAGGTTTAGGTGTGGCTTTCACGAACCTAGAAGTGGGCAGAGTTAATGAGGAGAGCCACTTGGAAGAACCAGGCGTAGGTTAGCAGTCTAAAGTTTGCTCATGTGGTCAAAAAAGACTAGAGATACACAGTAAAAGAAGTCCAGATGCAAAAACCTCTAAACAGGTTCCTATGTGTTTTTCAATGTGTGCAGGATTAAGAAAGAAAGAAAAAGGATATGGACAGTCATAGAAAGAAAGAAATAATTTAGAAATAGTAAAATAAAGTCTTTAAAGAGAGAGTAAAAGTAACATAAAATAAAAAAGCCACGTAAGATGGGAAACACACAAGGAGTCTGGATTCTATATAGTATTGTGTTGATTTTAAATTGTTTGCATGTTGATAAGAGATATAGGATTGTGAACTGGACTGCTAAATTAAACCAACCTACATACTTTAGAAATACATTAACTTTAACTTAGAAGTAAAAAATGCTTTGGAGAAGAGGTTTTGCTTTTGTTTCCACAGGAAACATGAGGCTGTGGATTCATCCCAGGTTGATATGGATCACATTTGACCAAGAGAGACCTCCTGAACCTTGACAGATGATATCTATCAACAAAGGTTATAGCTGGTCTTCATAGGACTTGGCCATTATCTCAAATTTTCTTTCTGGGACCCTAAACCTGCTTTGCCCATAGATAGCAGGAAGCAGTCTAGAGAAAACAGCATCCACAGTCCCAGGATTTGGGGTATGGGTAGTGGCTGGCTATTTGGTGGGTTATAGATGTTTGTTAACATTTAGGGGAATATAGTATATTGATAGAAATTTAATGTTCTTTTTGTTAAAACATTATATATATGTTTCTATTCTTGTTTAAAGTATTGTATTTATACAGTTCATTTAAAATGTAAAGTTCTAGTTTTTGAAAGCAATTATTGTTAACTATTTAGGATAATTAAGAAATGAGGTTAGTAGTTAGTTATCTATAACAATTAAATTTGCAGATATATTAGGCATGCTTTCTAGGTCATACAGAGATATGTTTTAGATAGATAAATGATTTTCAAACACTTTAAAGACCAATAGATTATGGCATTTAAAATGTTTTGTTAACCTAAGGTTTTTATTTTATTTTATTTTATGACAGTGAGACACATCTGCTCCTGGCAGCACCAATTTACTTCAGAGATGATGGGCATTGAAGATATTCCTTATGGAGTTTGCTTTCATTGTGGCAAGGTTAGCAAATAAACTGCTCTTGCCTTTGACTGTTGACAATGTGCTGTGCGGACTGGACATTCAGGACATATAGGAAAAAGATTGTTGAACTTTGCCAAAACAAGGCAGGACAATCTTTCAAATTTCCTGCTTCCCTGAAAAGTTTGTTAGATATTCTGGACCTGTAGTTTGAAGATAGATGGCCCAATGTTGCAGAGGATGTCTTGGTCAAATATCTCTGTTGTCAGATAATATTATATCCCTCTGGGTCTTTGATGGAGTTGAAGACTAGATAGTTATAGTTGCAGTTTTCCTTAGTTATGATAGAAAGTAAATTAGATGTAAATCTGCATTCACTAAGATAGGATAGATAATACATATTTTTCTCTGAATATGCTAACTACAAATGGGCAGAATATTATAAGTGTAATTCTTACTTGATAACTGCTTTTGTTGTGTATAGTTTTACTGTGTTAAAGTTAAAGCCTTTCTTTTTATTTAGACAAAATAGGAAAATGTTGTAGAATATTATTTTAAGGTGTGTTACTTTTGTTCATGTTACATTTATTTAACTCTGTGAAGCTGTGTTACTGTGCCTGTCTAAAACACCTGATGGTCTAATAAAGAGCTGAATGGCCAATAGTGAAGTAGGAGACAGAAATAGGTAGGGCTGGCAGGCAGAGACAATAAATAGAAGGAGAAATCTGAGAATAGAGAAGAAGGAGCATGATGGGGGAATGTCTTTCTGTATGCTGTGAATATGTGTTGCTCTGACTGGTTGATAAAGCTGTTTGGCCTATGGCAAGGCAGCTTAGAGGCAGGTGGGAAATACAAGGGGAGAGACAGGAAGAAGGTCAGGAGAGATGCCATCCTGCTGCCCAAGGAGCAACATGTAATGGGATGCAGATAAAGCTACGGAACATGTGGTGATACATAGATTAATGGTTATGGGCTAATTTAAGATATAAGAGCTAGTTAGCAAAAGGCTTGAGCCATGGCCATGCAGTTATAATTAATATAAGCCTCTGTGTGTTTACTTGGGGGATGTGAGTGGGAGAGATTTGTCCTGGCCGGCCGGGATGCAGGAAATCTTCTAACAACAGGAACAAGAGAAGGAGGAAGACACAAGGGGCTAGCCACCCAGCCACCCAGCCAGCCACAGAGTGAGACTGAAAGTAAGATATATGGAAGTAAGAAAAGGAAAGAGCCCAGAGGCAAAATGTAGATGGGATAATTTAAGTTAAGAAAAGCTGGCAAGAAACAAGCCAAGCTAAGGCTAGGCATTTATAATTAAGAATAAGCCTGTGTGTGTGATTTATTTGGGAGCTGGGTGATGGGCCCCCCAAAAAGTGTAAAAAGACCAAAAGAGCAAAAACAACAACAGTTTACTGTCTACAGCATATGAATCACTGACAAACAGACCAGAATGCTTCTGGGCTTTCTATATCCTTTTTTGGATGATATTTAATTAAGGCCCATTTCTAGGTATTTTATGGAATACTCTAAAGTATTGAAGAAAATTGTAATGATGGAAGATTTTTGGAAGGAGGAATCAACACAATTAAATGAAAGTAGCCTTCCAGAAAAAAAAAATGCCTTCTTAGCAGATTCTCTGTGGGAAATTTCTTTGGTTACCTATCAAGCTAAACATCTAACTTAAAGATCCATGACCTGCCATGGAATCATGGGATACCATTCCACCACCAAACGTGATCATATGGATAATTTATCATAGTGGGAAGATATTCATGATAAGTGAAGAAATTAAAAGAGTAAATTATTGTTAAAATATGCATGTACATAATATTTATATATGATCTCAACTTATTTGAAGCCTCCTAGATCTAGTGAAAATATAGGTAGACATAAAAATAGATATATAGCAAACTGCTACAAATAGTCACATTGTCTTCTTTGTCTTAGGACGGTAGGATTTGGGGTGATTTTGGATGTAATTGTATGTCTTTCTCCATTTTCTAAGGCACTTGAAGGGAGCATATATGGACAAACCAGTCTACCACTGAGCTGAAGCTCCAGACCCCACATTTTAATTAAGACATTTTAAATGACATTATTTGTTTACTTTTGTAGCACAGGAGTGGTGAGTGTGCCATGATGCATGAGTTGGGGTCAGAGGACAGCTTGTGGGGGTTGATTCTCTCCTTCTGGGTCCCAGGGAAGGAGCTCAGCCAGTAAAAGTGTTCCTACTTTACCAGCTAAGCCGTGAGATAGACTACTGTTTGGATTTTCTTTTTGAGACTCTCTTTCTCTCCCTCCCTCCTCCTCCCCCACCTCTTTCTATCTCTTTGAAACAGGGTCTCACTATGTAGCTCTGGCTATCCTGGAACTTACTCTATAGACCAGGCTGGCCTCGAACTCACAGAGATCCACCTGCCTCTGCCTCCCGAGTGCTGGGATTAAAGGTGTGCGTCACCATGCCCGGCTCCATTTTGATTCTTAAAAGAAATCTTTTTAGTGAGATTAAGACATTTCTTCTCTAAAGATTTTTCTGCCCCTCTCTTTAAAAAAATTATTTGAAAATATCCTCCCCCCTTTTAGCAGTTAACAAAATACGCTAGCAGATTTTTAAGGGAAAAGAAAAGCAAGCATTGTGCATGCTCTGTTGATGCATTTGTGTTGGGAAATCGACAGTAAGCTTCACACACCACTCAGGATATGAAGAGAAGGTCCTTCTCAAAGATGGGTGTGTGTGTGGGGGGGGTTGGTGACATGATCAGATTTGGCCTGAAGATGACATATCTGTGGGAAGAAGTGAACAGACCAAGGCAAGGCACTGTAGCCTTGTAGGTCACATAGTTCTGCACAGGGAGATGGAAACATTTCCCCAGGCTTAGCAGAACACTGAAGGCAAAAGACAAATGTGGTGTAGCACTCTTTCTTGCCATAGAAGGGTACTCTCCTCTTCCACCTTTTAAAAGACAATGTGTAGCACGAATCCTAAATGGTCTTAATAATTAAAAACCCAGAGTCAGATATCAGGGTGAAAGCGGAAAGATCAGAGAAGAAGAACAGCCAGTCACTAGAAAGACTTCTTTCCTCTAGGAGTCCTCAGACTGAAAGGGGGCTCTCCATCCCGCCTTATCACTTCCTCTCTCCACCCAGCCATATCACTTCCTGTTTCCTCCTCCCAAGTGCTGGGATTAAAGGTGTGTGCCACCACTGTCAGGGCCTCTAGTGGCTAGCTCTGCACTCTGATCTTCAGGCAAGCTTTATTTGTTAGCGCACAAACAAAATATCACCACATGTCTGTTATGTAACCTTGAGCTCAACATCCCTCTGCTCCTCCCCCTGAATGCTGAGATCACAGGCGTGAGCCACCACACCAGGGGCTGTTCCCATTTGAACTCTAAGACACACGCTCGTGGCAGTCAGGTGTAGCAGCTATGGTGTTAGAATGACCAAATATCCCAGTTTCCTTGGGACCTTCCAGTTTTAGCATCCCATGTCCCAAAGAAACCACTCTGTTCCAGGCGAATTGGGATGGTTGATTTTTCAAATGGTAGACAGATCAGCAGTGACCAAGAAATGAACTCCAGGTAGAGCAGCAAAAGATTGTGGACACAAAGGCACCTAAATGGAATGAGGTGGCAGTTGTCATGGTGACAGTGGTGCACTCTGTTAGAAAAGATGGCAGAGCCCAGCAATACCACTGGAAGATTGACGTGGGCTCCATGGGAGGAGCCAGGCTGATGACGGCTTTAGCAAGCAGGGCTTTCCAATCTTCCCACTGCGGTTGTACAAACAGCACCAAGGTGCTGGGATGAGGGGCGTCCCAGGAGTAGCAGCTGTGATTCTCACACAGCTGTGTATCTACCTCCCCGAAGTTGTCTTCCCTCCCTAGTTGACACCAGGAAGTGTTAGCTGATCCCTCCAGACTCTTCTTGGTTTCATAAGGCTTTCTGGGGGCTGAAGTGACCTTTAGTTCCTAAGCCATGTTATCCCTTACCTTTTACTATACACGAAGGAGCCTTAGCACTTAACAAACTCAAGCGTTTTGTTGAAGGAGAAGAACGAAGGTTTAGCTGTCGAAGGATTAAAAACTAGCACTGTGAGGGCTTGGGATGCAATTTAGTGATGGAGTGCTCACTTAGATTCCCAAGACCTTGTGTACAATCCTCAGTACCTCAAGACAAAGCAAAGCAAAAGAAAACAAAACCCTAGCACCGCACTCAGGAAGGGAGACGTCTGCAGGGCTGAATGATAGTCAAAACAGGTTCATTGGCCAGGAAACAAGTTTCAGCTAGATTTGAGGGGTTGGCAAACAGGGGTCACTCCAAGTCCATGGTTCTAACCAGCTGAAACTCCTTAGAAGCCGTTATGGTGAAATGCCATAGGGTGTTCACTTGTGCTATTATTTCCTAGGGCACGGTTTCTCTAGAAGGGTGTTGTCCCCTTATGCCTCTTCACAGACAAAAGCCACTTTCCGGTGGAGCAGCGTGGGATCTCAAAGCCAGGCCCTGTTCCTCCGCTGGACAGCTGTGCTGCTCCAGCAGCCAGCTCAAGGCCTGCTTTCTCTTCTGTTCTCTGGGCTTTGCTCCTGCACATCACGTTCCTCCTAGTATCCTGACTCCAAGTGCTCGCCTCAGCATCACAGAGCTGAGATCTAGTCTCTACCAATATTTCTATTTTCTCTAAAGTCTGTGTTTGATTATGGTTCAGTCTGCCTGGCTCTGTGCCACAAGCTAATGTCCAGTGCTCAGGAGGAAAGGAGTGTATGCACAAAGTTTGGCTGCAGCGACACTGCCTGTCATTTCCTAGGTAGAGCCATTCACAGGGGCAAAGGGTGGCTAAAATGGCTGCGAGTAGAGAATTTGGGCCATTTGGCATGGTGTGGATAGGGCTGTCCAGTATGTTCGTACTCTTAATTTTCTCTCCTCCTCCTCTTCCTTCTTCTGTTTCTGTATGTAAAAATACACATCTTGAAAGAGAAGAAAAGAATAACTTGGCTTTAGTCTTGCAATTTATGGGCTGACAGACTTGTTTTTTCATGGTATGTAACATTTCTGATGGCTATATATAATGTATTTTCTAATCTTTAGGTCATGGGGATGTCATGCTGGTATGTTGGAGAGAGGTAAAGAAATAATGCCAGGAACATAGTAGAAGGAAAGCATGTGCTTTTGCGGGTACCAAGCACACACTTCCCCCTTTGCCTGCCCAATGCCAGGCTTTTGACCACGTGTCTTGTTGACTTCCCGGTTCCTGTACCCTGTGATCCACACTGCTGAGTCATGCTTCCAACCGTGATGCTCTCTAGGGGATTCAGTGTGGCAGTAGGAGTCTTGGAGCAGTATTTTGGGCACCCTCTGTTTGATACGGGCATCA